GTGATCGACGGCGTGTTCGCCCAGCGAGCCGCTGGAACGCCGTCTCTGCGTGCGTTTTTTGCATTCTTCTCGCAACATGCACAACATGGTATGTGACCTAGGTTTTCGTCGTCATTCGTCATCGATGTCATTGCAACCGAAGCACCAGACGTTGTCATCGTCGAGCCCACCGACGGTCGCAGCCTGCGCGAGGCTCTCGTCACCATGTCGTTGAGTGTCCGACCCGTGTGGCCATCGCCGAAGTTGCACGTTGCCATCGCGATGGCTGGGGCCCTTGCCGATCTGCATGCCGCTGGCCTCTTCCACGGGTCGCTTTCAAGCCACAGCGTCTTTCTTGGCGTCGAACGTCGCGTCAAGGTCGGTGTGCCGGGAACATCCGACCCCAATCTGTCGACGCTGCCGTGGACCGCCCCCGAACGACTTGGCATGTTTGCGCCGTGCACGCCGGAGGCTGACATTTATGCGTTCGGCGTCATTTTGACGGAGCTCGACACGCTACGTGCACCGTTCGAGGAAGAGAATTGGAACGACGCACAGCTCATGACGGCGGTGGGCCTTCATGGACGTCGCCCACAACTCTCGGATGACTGCGACCCGCGGTATGTGACTTTGGTCGACCAGTGTCTAGCCCGAGATACGACCCGTCGCCCGACGGCTACAGCCATTGTGGCTACATTGTCCATGCTGCAAACGCCCGATGACACTCTCGTTGTGGCCCGTACCGGAGCACCCTGCCTATCTCTTGAGACTCGCAACAACGTACGACTAGCATGCTTCTCGCCGACAATATTGCCGTGGCCACTATATTTTCGATGGTGTAGGAGGGCAAGACGCCGCTGGCCATGGCGATCGAGCGCGGCTACTCTTCCATGATTGCCAAGCTCTTTGATCGCGTGCACCGAGCTGCGGTCGAGGTAGTCGTCACAATATCACTGTTAGTACGCAATTATGTCATGTGGTCGTAGATTTCGGAAGACGGGTACGAAATGACCACGACAGAGCTCGGTATGGGCGGCTCTGGTGTCGTCCTCCTTGGCTCGTACTGTGGTCAAAACGTTGCGGTCAAGCGGTTCCGAAACGCCAAGTACTGCTCGTCGTTCGAGGTCGAAGCCGACGCACTTGTCGCGTGCGTTCGTTCTCGAGTATTGACCAAGTGCTCATCCATTGGAGCAGGTGTCCGTCTCCATTTCTCGTGCGGCTGGTGGCCATCGCAGGTCGCCACTCGGACACACCAGCCCTTCTCTTCGAGTACATGGATGGCGGTAGTCTTCGGACGCACCTCGAGAAGAAGCGCATGAACGAGCGTACACCGGTGCACGTGACCAACCTCCACGTGGCGTGGGTCATCGCCAACGCCTTGCGAGATCTGCACGCCAAGAAGCTCGTGCACCGCGACATCAAGAGCGGCAACATCCTTCTGAGCTCAAGTGGCGAGGTCAAGCTCGCCGACCTCGGACTCGCGCGGCTCGAGGCAGCGAGCATGACCGAAGCACCTGGTACCCGGTACTGGATGGCGCCCGAGGTCCTGCAATCGGATGGTGCAGTCTACGGCTGCCCCGCCGACATTTACTCGTTCGGCGTCCTCCTCACTGAGCTCGCCACGGGCCAACTGCCGTACTTTAACCAAGACGTCCAAGACCCGATTGCGTTTACCCGCGGTGTCGTCAACGGCACGCTTCGTCCGACGCTGACGACCGAATGCGAGCCATGGCTGCGACAGCTGGCCGAACGCTGCCTGCATGCCGATCCGAAGGCGCGCCCGACAGCGGCGTCCATTGTCGAGATGCTCAGCGTTGAGATGGCGGCTGCTCCGCCACCAGGCATGAGCGTAAGCAGTCTGCTCTTGATGGTCTCGGCTGCTCATGGCTGTACGATGTAGGTGGCGAAGACATACCTGCACGCAGTGGCCACGGACGACGTCGACACGGTGGCGCAGCTGCTGACCCACCGTGTACCACTGGACTGGAAGCTACCGGTAGTCGCCACCCTCATCACCACCGTCTGAAAGCTTCCTAGGGCGGTGCGTCACTGCTTTTGGCGGCTACGGCGGCGCGTGCCACCAAGACGGTGAAGTTTCTCCTAGATCGCGGCGCCAATGTCAATGACCGGAGCGTACGATACATGCTACCCGTAATCGTACGTACTACCAACTAACCCACTGTAGGGGGGCCAAACGCCGCTGCACGCCGCTGTGACCAAGTCTTTGGAGGAATTTCTCCTCATTTTGATCGACGCGGGGGCGGACGTCGAAGCACGCGATCAAGTAAACGTCTGCGAGAAAAGAGGGAAAGGCTTATTATTTGGATAGGATGGAAGAACGCCTCTGGCGTTCGCCCTGAAGAAACAGCTTTTGCAATGCGTCACGGCGCTTCTCGCCACGGGGGCCAGTGTCGAGCGTCTTGACGAGGTAGTTCACGCTCCCAATTTGTTTTTCAAGGCCGTGCGTAGGACGGATGGGAGCTACTTGACATGGCCAAACGGGACCAAACCCTCGCCGACCTTGTGCGGAAGCTCCAAACCGCTGCGTCACGGGTACAAAACGTTTGATCTCGAGAAGCATCAGAACTGATACTCGCATTGTAGAAAGAAAACGTTGCCACACCCGAGATCTTTTGCGTCAACTGTGGCAACTGGCACGCCGTTGCCGCGGTCTGTTCATGTACCCACAACGCTTCGCCGACGGACCGCATGGTCGCGGTGGTTCGGCGCTTGATGCGGCTGCACCATCGCGGCTACGCCGTCAACTGGGCGCGAACCTGCGCTTCCACCACTTGCCACCAGTCGACAATGACTATCGTGGACGCGATCTGCCCCGAGTGCGGCACCGAGTCGCCGATGGATGGAAACGAGCTCAAGATTCTGAGCGTGCGCCTCAAGCGTGCTCTCCAACAACCGACGGTACATGTCCTTCAAGCTGCAGCAGAATGCTGAGCCGTCAACTTGTAGAGCGCGCAAGAAGTGCCATGCATTCCGCGTCGCGTCCTGCGCTGGTTGGCAAGCCACCGTGACCCGCTGCCGCCAGCTGCACCCTCGTCGACCAACATGATGCAACGTCGCTCCGAGCGACGCATGCGGGGCCACTCGGCAGAAGGCCGAGCACGCGATATGGCGTTTCTGGCAATGCTCGCTTCCCGCCCGATGCAACCGGTCATGGATCGTCCCTATCCCTGAGCACGCTGACTCTTCCCTGTAGAACGATCCGATGCCGTGGGCAACCGCGGATGTGTTTGGTCGGGCCGCCTTGGCTCGCGACTTGTACGCGAGCATGTCGGAGCCTGTACGGAAGGTAGCGACGGTGGTGCTGAACCACCCATGAGCAACTCGTCTGTAGATTGCAGCCGAGACCTTGCCAAAGGCGGGTGTACCCATGATGTTGCATGACCAACTGGTCGTGCATTACCACATCGGCGACGACGACGATCTCGAAGCCATTGCCATGTACCTTGAATCGCATCGGCAAGGCGATTGACGACGATGCGTAGGTGCTCGTCGCCCTTTCTCGTGTCCATCGTGGCCACCGCGTCGCCCCAGAGCGTTCTTCTCGAGGTCTCTCGCGCCCTGACCCTCCAGAACACGCTGCTGGTCCCGGATGCACGCTCGCGCATGCTGGCAGCGGATCCAACGATTCTGCAGACCCTCTACGTGATCGCCAACGCGCTTCTCGACGTTCACGAGCACAGTCTCGTCCACGGATATCTCTCGAGCCACAACGTGTTTATGAGCCGCATCGACGGTATCCAAGTCGGCGTGCCCGGGATGTCAGCGACAGAGAATGCGCTGCTGGCATGGACGGCCCCCGAGGTGCTCACCGGCGACTCGCCGCCGTCGTCGGCCTCTGACATTTACGCGTTTGGCATTCTCATGACCGAGCTCGACACGTTCCAGCTGCCGTTTGAAGAGTACGAATTCGACGACGAAGTGGCGCTCACGACGGCGGTCGTTGATGGCGGCTTGCGCCCCACGCTGCGCGACGACTGTGACGTGTGGTACCGAACCCTTGTCGGTCGTTGCGTGGACGCTGACCCGCTCCATCGCCCGACAGCAGAGGACCTCGTTGAGCTGCTGCAAGAACGGCTCGATGACGCCATTGGCATGCGCAACGCCTAGCGACTTGCGTGTGCAAGCCATGCATCTACCCATAACTAATAGTACTACAGTGACTGCAGGGAACGTCGTGGGCAGGTTATGGTCGAGTTCTTTGGTCGAGGTGTTGCATTGAGGTAGCGTGTATTCTCGTAGTGAAGTGCGCTTGTTCGATTCGATTCCTACGTGGGGCGCTGCAGGGGCTGCACGTACTCGTCCAAGATTGCATCGTCCTCAAGGACGCCGTGTCCAGCGCTGCGCACTCGGACGTAAAGTTTGCTGCAGCTTTTGCACAGAGGCGTCGACCGTTGTTCACAGTATATCGCAAGGTCTGGTCGCTCCAGAACGGCTTCAGCGTTTTGCAGGGTATGGTCCACAATAACGCGCAGCATCGTACGCTGGCTCGCGGCCACCCGTGCCCCGCTACCTAGCCCACCGTCCGGGACGGTGGCTTCGACCGACAACTGGGAGCAATTGAAGCAATTGAAGGTCCACAATGTACCGGCAGCAAATGGCTTTCTGTGCTCGGAACTGCTCGTGCCACGCCCGCATGCGATGCCATGCCCTGCGGTTCGTTTCATGTGCTTGCGGCAGCACGACGTGACGTTGTATTAGAGGGATCAATCGACGTTGACCAGTGCCGAGGCGATCGACCCTGTCGCTTTAGCCCGCGACTTGCTCCCGGACCTGGTCCACCCCGTCCTTGGACTAAGAACACTTCGCAGACACCCGAAACACACACTGGATGGGTAGGTGTCACCGGTCCCGGCGCCTGGCGCTTCGTTTTCAATGGGCGGGGACGTCGTCACACACCGTCTCATTGGCGACGACGAAGATCTCGACGCGATCGCACGGTGCGAAGATCACATACAGGCATGCATTGGATGTATCGATCGTTCTTTCATAGTTGCACGTCGCCGTATCTTGTGCCGGTTGTGGCTGCCATCGCGCCAAAGAGTCTTCTCGTGAGAGGAACCTTTCTCCGTCTCCGGCAGCTGATGGCGGAAAGCAAGGACATGCTTCCAGACCCGTTGATCGAGATGGATTTCGGTCACACTGTGGCCAGCGCGCTCGTGGATGTCCACGCCCACAGTCTCGTCCACGGGTATCTCTCGAGCCACAACGTCTTCTTCAGCCCGGCTTTAAAGGTCCACGTCGGTGTGCCCGGGACGTCGGCGACCGACGATGCGCTGCTCGAATGGACGGCCCCCGAAGTGCTCGCAGGCGACGCGCCGCCGTCGTCGGCCTCTGACATTTACGCGTTTGGTATTCTCATGACCGAGTTTGATACGTTCAAGCTGCCGTATGAAGACGACGCGTTCGACGACGAAGTCGCGCTCACGACGGCGGTGGTCGACGGCGGCTACCGACCAGCGCTGCGCGACAACTGTGAGGAGTGGCTTCAAGACCTCGTCGATCGTTGCGTGGACGCTGACCCGAATTTGCGCCCAACGGCGGTCGAGCTCGCCGCGTCGCTTCAGAAACTCTTGGATCAAGCCACGCGCCTCGCCCGAGCCGACGACCCATAAAAAAAAGTCTGTTGAACACCACAATACACACTCCTACATGTAGACGGCTGCTTGCATCGATGCACGTTGGATATAGAAGCGGGACACGACCAAGAAGTCGCGGCACAGGTCGACGGGCGACGGCGAGGTCAAGCCTTGTTGACCGCTCGTGCCACATCCGACCAGACTGCAGCACTTGAGTCTTCGGTCGCAAACTCGGCATCTACGTGATGACGCGCACCGATGGCTGGCGAATAGCCAGAGAGCAAGTCTCTGTGCAGTCGATAGCAATCGTCTGCGCGTAGCCCTTCGCGACGACGTGCGCCATGTAGTACTTGATCTCGCCCTTGAGGTGATCGTGAAGGCCCATTGGTGCCTGATAACGTTGGCGCCGAGGCGTGACCGCCACGCACGGACTCTCGATGGCAAGAGCGGGTCGCGGGCCGTGCGCGGCTCGGGCATCTGGATTGATGCGAGGGCACCGACTTCTCGTCGCTGGTCGAGCGACGCGCAGAGCACTTGGTACAGCAGGGTGGCCTCGTCGCGCTTGATTGCCTTCAAGAGCGCACTCGGGACGGACCCCAGCGTCGGACCCTCGCCGGATTAGGGGTACATAAGAGCTATGATGTACCCCTGATCCGGTCGCACTATCCCGAGCTGATCTTTTGATTCCATCGATTGGGATTCTTGTGGTTGGTACCAATGACGACTGGATGATGCAGGGTGCGGATGACGCAGGACCCAGCGGGCACTGCAGACTTCCGATTATCATTGACAGGAAGAAGATCAGCGCTGCGCATCTCTTGCACATAGTTTTACATTTCATCAATCAACTTCCCTCTTCGTGTTTCCTCTTCTCAACCACCTTGCTTACACCGCCCAGTGCGCGCAGCTCCGCGAGCGTCAATAGGAATTGCCAAGTGTGCAGCCAATGCCTCGGTAATGGGGCGCTCACGCCTGGCTTGTTTCAGAACGAGGACCACCAAAGCACCAGATAACCGTCGCATTTTCAAGGTACCAAGTTGCTCCAGACAGTGTCGCAAAAGACCATCACTCATCGTCCAGCACCGATACGTCAGCATTACGCCTTGGGACAGAGTGTCCATGATGCTTCGTCCTTCATTATTCATTTTCGTTTTGCATGGGTACCGACAAGAGAAAGTACGCGCACCGTTTGCGCACGTTGGCGCGCGAGGCCGCGATGCCGCAGTGCTGTCTGTACACGCCTGCCGACGAGTGCAATCCGACGCCGACCGTTGACGGCATCGAGATGGCTTCGAAGTCTCTCTCGCCCGATACCTTGACGGCACTCACGACCAAGTACGCTGGCCGCGTCCCGGCCGACGACGTCATTCTCCGCGATGTCTACGCCACCGCTGACTACGTGGAGGATTCCTGCCTCCTCGGGGGACTCGGCATTGGACATGCGTGCAACGAGTACGGCCTCATGTTCGACATGACGCTGGCGCATTTTGCAATCGACTTGACCGGCGACGCATCGACGTTGACGCCGACAACGGAGCCACCGCCCCACACCTTTGCGACGGTCGTCTACTTTTTCCCGTCCAACTGCGTCGGCGGCGCCGTCACGATTGCACACGAGCACCGGACGACGACATTCGAGGCGCTCGACGGATGCTTTCTCTCGTTCTACAGCACGTGTGACGTGACAGTCGCGCCCATCACGTCCGGACACCGGTCTTTTGCCGTGTACTACGCCGCCTACCACACAAGCGACGACGATGTGTTTACCTGGAACGCACCCACGCCACGCTTCGCGCCGCTGCCACTGCCGTCGATCCAAGAGCTCCAGCGTGCTGCTCACCACTTCGATCCTCAAGGCTACCATGGCGTCGCGATCGGGCTCGAGACGCGCGGCTTGACGCCGACGTTTGATTCGCTCACGGGGCATGACAAGGCGGTCGTCGATCTGCTTCTGGCAGCCGATGTCTTTGACATTGCACTTGTGCGCGCGGGTGAAAACGACGAGAGCAAAGGCATTCTGTCGCTGATCGAGACGTTTCATCCGCGATGCAAGACCCCGGCGCTCGTCCAAGAGGTCTATCACCAGACGCCGATCAACGAGTTTGCCGCCGACATGGACGAGATCAAGTCGCCCGGCTGCTTCCTTCTCGTGTGGCCCAAGGCGAATCGCGTGCGCATGTTGGGCTACGACCGCACGCTTGGGCTCTTGCACGCCAATGTTGACGGTGACGTGACCGAGCACCTCGGCTACGGGTCGCTCCAAAGCATCTTTGAAGCGGCTTTTCGCTTCTTCTACCCTCGGCCCGAACATTGCTTTGGCCGCAACCCACCACCGCAAAGCACGTACGCGATGGCATCCTTACTCTACGACTACGGCGACCTGCATCTCATTGAGACGTTCTTGGACGTTCACGACCAGTGGGCCGACAACGAGACCATGGCCAACTGGATTGTCACGGTGGTTCGACGCTTTGGCGCACCCCATTTCCAGCACCGACTCCGAAAGGCCGACGTCTCGATCTCTTTTGGGGCTCAATTGGTGCATCTCGCGACGGCTGGCGACAAGCTCGCGCAGACGATCGCGTGCGACTGCATCCCAGTGTGGTGGCCTCGCTTGCTGAACAAACTCTCGGCGACCGACTGCGCTGGGAAGAAGAAAGGGCTGTTTTATCTCTTTGACATTGAAACATACCTGCTCGAGCACCCGATTCACATGGCGGCGTCGACGCACCTCCGCCGTCGGCACTTGCCCGATGTTCTCGTGCGCAAGGTGGCGACATACCTCACACCGCCGCTCGCGTCGCTTTTGCAGACTGTTCGAGCCGACAAGTGCCTCATGAGCTGCCTTCCGGCCGTCGTGTGGTCGCGGCAAGACTCGCTGTGTAGTGAGCGCCTCGCAAAGTGCATTGACCTCGCCGTCGAGTATCTGCGCTCGGGCGACGAGCGCGCTAGCTGCTACAAGGGTCACGTGCTGTACCTGGCGCTGCTGACCGCCGGGACACCAGCCTATGCTGTCGTCGACGCCGACATGCAAACGTGGCGACACTGCTTTGATTTCAAGGGCGCGTGCACTGGCGTCGACAAGAGGCCATCATCGACGGCGATGGACATGCCCTTCTTGGAAGAGTACATGCACGAAGACGACGAAGAGATTTGAACAAGAGCGTCGTGTCTTCTGCACAACATCACCGTATCGGATCTCTAATAACATGCAAGTGCCGGACGTAGTCTTACAATGGGACGGGCATGTCGCGTCGCGATATGCATTTTACAACAAAATACCAAATCAACCCCTTGGAGCAACTCTGGGAGCAACTCGTCGCCCCGCGTCCGGTTGAAAAAACTGGCAAAACACCCTTTTCACCCTGGACACTCTTATCGCGCACCACTCGTGGATGAGCTCCATAATGCTATAGGCAAGTATTGTAAGGTTCGATACGTCGTCGGTCGGGACGCAGCCAGCGTACTTGGTCGTCACAGTGCCGGGCGAGAGAGGCCCCAAAGCAATCGCGATGCCGTCAATGACATCTACTTTTGACGCGACCGGCAGGCAACGTCTCTGCCGAAGTGTCGTGCTGGGTGTCACAAAAGCCGGTCCACCTGTTGCTGCAAATGACGGTCGTTCAACTTCGCACAATGTATTGTTGAAGTGTAACCCAAACCTTCACTTCGGCACCACAACGCAGTGGGACTGTGGGACCGATATTCAAGAGTGTACATGTGCCACGGGCAGGCGACACGTCGAGTCGGGTGACGGTACCAGAGTGATGGTCTGGGTCCTTGTAGTCGAGCTCTCTTCATATTTGCATTTTCCATGAGTGACGACGAAGGTCACGACGCGTACCATTTGCGCACGTTTGCGCGTGACGTGGCGGTGCCGCAGTGCTGTCTGTACAAGCCGAACGTCGAGCGCAATATGACGGCGAAGCTCGGTAGCATCGCCGTGCCCTCGTGGCCGCTGTCGACCGAGACGCTCGCGGCGCTGGCGACCACATTCGCTGGCCGCGTCCCAGCCAAGGACGTCGTCTTCCACGACTTCCACACGATACCCAGGCATGCGTTCATGTTTGAATCCTCCATCCTCGGCGAACTCGACCCGGAGCAAGACGACGACGACGAGAAGCTCGAGTTCAGCATGACGCTGGCACATTTTGCAATCGACTTGACCGGCGACGCATCGACGTTGACGCCGACAACAGAGCCACCGCCCCACACCTTTGCCACAGTCGTCTACTTTTTTTCGTCCACCTGCGTCGGCGGCGCCGTCACGATCGCACACGGCCACCGAACAACGACGTACGAGGCGCTCGACGGGTGCTTTCTCTCGTTCTACAGCACGTGTGACGTGACGGTCGCGCCAATCACGTATGGACACCGGTCTTTTGCCGTGTACTACGCCGCGTACATCCTGGACGACTACGACTCGGACCATAGCTACGGGCCCACGCCCAAGTTTGCGCCGCCGCCGCTGCCGTCGATCCAAGAGCTCCAGGCCGCCGCTCGCGGCTACGATCGGTATGACGCCATTGCGGTGACGATCCGGCTCGAGACGCGCAGCTTGACGCCGACGTTTGATTCGCTCACGGGGCATGACAAGGCGGTCGTCGATCTGCTTCTTGCAGCCGACGTCTTTGACATTGCACTTGTGCGCGCGGGTGACAACGACGAGAACAAAGACATTCTGTCGCTGATCGAGACGTTTCATCCGCGATGCAAGACCCCGGCGCTCGTCCAAGAGGTCTATCACCAGACGCCAATTCACGAGGTTGCAGCCGACATCGACAAGTACGAGTCGCCCAACTATCTCGTGTGGCCCAAGGCGAATCGCGTGCGCATTCTCGGCTACGACCGCACGCTTGGGCTCTTGCGCGCCAACTTGGACGGTGACGTCGTCGACGACCTCGGCTTCGGGTCGCTCCGCGGCATCTTTGAAGCGGTCTTTCGTTGCTTCTATCCGCAGCCCCGAAACAACAACTATGGCTTCAACCCACCGCAAGTCACGAGCAAGATGGCGTCCTTACTCTACGACCATGGAGACGTGGGGCTCATTGAGATGTTCTTGGACGTTCATGATCATTGGGCCGACGACGAGGCCATGGCGAATTGGCTTCTTGCGGTGCTCCGACACTTTGGCGCGGCCCGTTTCCAGCGCCAACTCCAAACGGTCAAGGCGTCAAATGCTTTTGTGGCCCAGATGGTGCATCTCGCGACCGCCGGCGACAGACTCGCGCAGACGATCGCATGCGACTGCATCCCAGTGTGGTGGCCTCGCTTGCTGAACAAACTCACGGCGGGCTACTGTTCCGAGAAGAAGAAAGGGCTGTTTGATTTGTTTGACATTGAGACATACCTGCTCGAGCACCCGATTCACGTGGCGGCGTCGACGCACCTCCGCCGCCAGCACTTGCCCGATGTTCTCGTGCGCAAGGTGGCGACATACCTCACACCGCCGCTTGCGTCGCTGCTGGAGACTGTCCAAGCCGACAAGTGCCTCGTTCACAACCTTCCGGCTGTCCTTTGGCCTCGGCGCAACGCTCTGTGCAGCGTGCGCCTCACCACGTGTATTGACCTCGCCGTCGAGTACATGCGCTCGGGCGCTGAGCGCGCTCGATGCTACAACGGCCACGTACTTTATCTGGCGCTGCTGACCGTCGGGACACCCGCGTTTGCTGTCGTCGACGCCGACGTGCAGACGCGGCGACGTTGCTTTGATTTCAAAGGCGCGTGCGCGGCGCTGGACACGTCGACGTTGACGCCGATGCAAACGCTCGTCTTGGAAGAGTACCTGCGACGTCCAACGTACGGGTGTGCGTAGAAGCTGTCGTATCGGGAAATCGCACGAGCCTTGAAATCTTGAAATATATGTGTATGTAGTACATGATAGCTACTAGCAAGGGAAAAGTTATGGCCCCTGGCGACTCGTATGCATTTTATGACGTCGAAGCAAGCCGACGACATGGAGCCGAAGTGGCAACGAGGCCATGACGACGTGTATGTGTCCGTGGAGTTAGTAGACGTTGCCGAGTTGCCGGTCTTTGACAAGCACGAGACACTCGAGATCCAAGGCCTCGAATGCGAGACGCTGATTTTGTGCATACCAGGATGCTGATGGCATTGTCCTGGCAGAGCGGTTCCGGGCTCTAAATAATGTATGTGGAGCGGATGAAGGCGCTGGACTCGTCCATGTTGGTCCGACGATCGGATCATTCGGATCTGGAGACGTCAATACAATTAACAATAAAGAAAGCCCCGCGGTTGTTGAGCGTATTGTTGTTACCATTGTGGATATGTTGTTTGTAGGATACTCCAGGGAATTGAAAGACGCAAGACACCTCGCTTCAAAGTTCGCGTCTCCAAGGGCCGTCCAAGTGCGATGGCTGACAACTGTAATACTGTAATTATACAAACAGGTCCCTTTAAGGTGCGTTTTATACATTCGAACTTAATAACAGAAATGCACAATGGACGCGCCAAAATTCGTCTGCAGCTATACCGCTCAAAACAAGCAACCAACATTCCTGCAGCGGTAGAAAGATGCACGACGATGCTCCTGGCATGGAGGCACCAGGGGTTTCCCATGAGTAAAGTAGTTTCTTTCTGCTATGAGACCATCGTCTCGAGCTACTTGATCTTGCGCGCGACTCGCTCACGTCTTCCAACGATATTCCCGCACAGCCACACCGCGCCTCGGCTTGCCAAGACCAATGGATGCACCGCCGAGCTTTCGTTGTACGCATTTGCGGGCGTGAGCCAGGCATGTGTTGCTTAGCCCCGCTACGATGCGACCTGGAGCTGTAGCACCAAGCCATATATGTCTCGATACGCAGAATGTACACGCGTCGAGCCCTAGCATCATGGAACGAAACGAAAATGAACGATTTAGAAGTACTGTGGTCTGCAGCGATAATTGAAACGATGGGAGCGAGCTACTCCCTGAAGCGAGACGTCCCTGCAACATTGCCGCCGCCCGATTCTTTGCCGCTCCCGAGGCGCCCCGTTTTTTAGGCCGCACCAAGATGATCACATTGCCGATCGTCCTGCACCGCGACCTCCAGTCGTTCACGCCGCCTCAGTCGCTGGCCTCTTTCGAGGACCTCAACAAGCTGCGTAGCTTTGCCGCTGACGGCAAAGCCTGGAAGGCCTCTACACAGCGAGTCGTCATGGGCCTCACCCGCGGCCGCAAGCGCCCCACGGCGACTACAGAAGAGCAAGATGGACCCCCGCGCCGCCGCCTGCGAAGCCACGGCCCGGCGAGCGAATGAAGAAGAAGGAGATTGCTAGTCTCTACGTATGCGAACTCTTTGTAACAAAAAAGATAACGCGAAACACGTTCATATATATAGGAGCGAGCTACGCTTACTGGAGCGACCGGGCGGGGTATGGCGTCGCCCAACTCGACGATCTACTTGGACTCGATGGATATTGTACACGTACGTGTCATAGAGCGGGATGCCTCACCAGTGCTGGCGCGGCCTTGATGAGAAAAGATAAGCTTGGTATGCGTGGATAGAATACACTACCGGTGCACACTAAGACGACTACCAGTACCGTCTGAGGTACGGGCACAATTAGGCGCTGCCATAATTACGAGAACGTGCGCTCGGATGTGAACCGGTATTTCTTGCGAGCATCCTGTGCGTATGAGCATGAAGTTTCCGCCTTGTACGACGCTCGAGTGGGGCCATAGACGACTCGATTGACCGCTACTAGGCATTGGGAGTGGGGTGGCGGGCTGGGATCGACAAGGCTAAAGGCAAAATGACTAGCTAGCCAACTATCGACTCATCGCGTCTATCTGGACCGCAAATTTCAATTTCTGGGCCGCGCCTGGAAGTGCCACATTCCTGCCTTCGGGCAAGGCCCACTCGACGCAGTTTGAGTGTGTGCTGCTGTGCATGCCATTTTTATATGGAATATCAACGGTCATGAAGCTAAAAATGTGCAAGGTAAGTACGGAGCTGCCTGCAACTATTAACGTTACTGTGGTGCGCTGTGTTGTACTAAAGTACTACTTGAAAAGGCGCAAGCGTGTTTGCCTCGAAGAGACGCAATGCATCGATTCTACACCGCCGCTTTTTAAGCTATACTTGGATTCGCTTGCACACACGGCCTTTTGGCTAAGACGCGAGGGCATCTACAGTATATGCTGCTACCTCGGCAACAGCCTGATACCATCGAGGAGGAGCTTTCCTTGGAATCCTCGGGACGACCTGTCCATTGCATCCGGATCCAGGTGGCCGTGCCCAGATTCCATTGGACGTGAACGCTGCTATCCGCAATAGCGTGCATGAATTGCCATGACCAAGTATGTACTTCTTTATGGAAAAAGCCAAGCCAGGACTTTGTGTGGGAAACTATTTTTCACATCGCCCACACGGCGAAAACCACGCGCCATCTGGTGATATTTTCTAAAATTTGTATCTTGTTTTGTGTATTGGAAAGAAAGATAACGCGGCGCGGATCAGCAGAATCCCATCAAAAGGTGCGGATTTTTGCGCACTTTATCGCGATTTTTGCGTACTATGTCGGGCCGACATTTAAAAAAGACACTTGGAAAACGACTGAAATCGTACCTAATATTCCAGCGCGTTGCCTCCCCTACAGCAAGGGATCTGCGCCATCCGTCTTGAAAAAACCACGGAGTGGTTTTTTCGTAGAGATGGTGAAATTAGGTTTCCCACCGGTAATCATACCTTCTCGGCCTTTTGGCTAAGATCAAGTGTAGTATCTGTTCTAATCAGTGTGAAAACTGATTTCCACACTTCGGTGTGGTTTTTTTTCACATTCATTTTTACAAACTCCGATAGTCCAGTTGGCTTGCCACTGACTATTGGACTGGTTTCCGAGGGCCCAGCACTCCTCCCTTGTGAAGCCTAACTACTACACTCGACTCTTATTTCACACTCAAATCTCCACTCCCACTCCATATTCTTTCACAATCCACACCCCTCCAGCGCGAAGCGAGTCGCAATCAACTTTGCCCGCAGGGCCCGAGGCGTAGCCGAGGTTTAGTTCAGTTGCTAGAAAAACTTTCGGCCTTCATTGCACTAGTCTTTCTCCTTTTTTCATGGTCCCAACCTATGCAGCGCGATGGGCTGCCAACGAGTCGCAGTAATTTTGCTCACAGGGTCCGAGGCGCAATTGATGTTGTTAGCATATAAATTATATATATACGACGACGCTCGGCCCGTACACGTCTCGATCGACTTGTGAACCTTATCTCGGTGCTTCAACAAGCCATCTACGAAGGTTTGAACGCCTCGTCCAAGACGGTGCACGCAAGTCTTCGCCCGCTCACCGCGGCACTGACGCCCCCGGCATGGACCAATCAAACGTACTATAGGGGCAGCCCGTTTTACCGCAGCAGCATCCCGACATCACTGCACCGGGCGCCCTTCTCGTCGACCGATCAATGCGGAGCGCAGTTGTCTTTGACTGCCACGGCGCCACCACCCTGGAGTGTCGCCGTGCCGCCGCTCTCCATCGTGACTGCGCTCTTGCTCGTCGCCAACGCGGTGCCAAGCATCTATGCCGCGTAAACTTCCGCTCGGTGCCTCGCGCTGCTTCAAGCTGCGGCGTCGCTCGCACGACCAACCATCAACCCACGCCCCGTCACGGCGTGAGAGGTCGCTGCCGTCGTCGCCGCAGCAAGTATCGCCCGCGCTGCGAACCGAACATCATACCGTGCAATACCTAAGGATTGCCTCTACCCATGCTTGTGGATATTGTCCACGATATGGCGCGTATCTTCCCGCAAGAACATTCGATTGCGACCGCCGATAGCCTACTCGTTTGGATCGTCTCGGCGTGTCTTGCGATGTTGGCGCCGGTCCAGCCATCGATCCGCGTGGCACCGCAATGTGCAAGCTGGGCGCTCCAACGTCAAATCGTGTGCTCGGCAGGCACGTTCACACTAGGGTCGTCTGCACAGCTGCTACTGCTGCTCGTCCTCGTGCTTCTGTGCAATAAGTTTTGGTATGTTGCGGTGCGACTGCTCTTCACGCGGTCGACCTCGTTCATCACTGTTTCGATCGAGTGGCGCCGAGTACTTCTTTGACCACCAGCAGTGGCTAGTCGACGACGTGGACTAGATGGACCGTGCGTCGGCCATGGTGAGCGGCCTCCTCAGCGTCCGTCACGGTGGCGAACGGCTGCTATTTGATATCAAGACGTGGCGATTGCATCGGCTTTCGGCGCTCCATACAGAGAAACGGCCCAGCGACGACGTGCGCCTCGACTACGCGCTCCCATTACGGACCTAGTTGACCCTCGGTGAATGAATCATAACTGTGTGGGATATATACTTTTGAGAGGAGCTATGTAAGCCCCAGAGACAACGCCATACCTGAAGTTAGGCCATTTCGTACATGCCAAACTAGATTGTTGTGAGGTACTAGTATTCTTGAGGCTCGGTGTCAAGCCGGCTTGCACACTCGGCCTCCCCGACATGATGTGGATCCACCTCGAGCGCATCGCTACCTGCAACGGTACAGCGCGCGTTGGATGAGAGCTTGCGGTACTGTAGCAAACGCCAATGTCAAACCAAGAGACATGAATTCAAAGTCGTTGCGTATCAGAGATGCATGCACTGCGCTGTCTGCGTTCACTGTGTCTACGATGGACGTCGCATGTACTCTTCCAAGACGAGCGTTTGCATCGCGGTTAACGACGAACCGCACACGGCCTAGCAGCGCACGCGGCCTTGAAGTGGCCTGTGTATCGCCAAGGTTGCACGTCGGCGTCGACGATGGCAAAGGCTGGTGTCCCAGCCGTCAGCAGTGCCAAGTAGAGCACATGGCCTTTGCAGCATCGAGGACGCTCTTTGGACGAGGACGCATGCTCGACAGCTAGCGCAATGCATGCTGCGAGGCGCACGCTGCCCAGCGCGTCTCGCCGTGGCCACACGACCGCCGGAAGGCTACCGACGAGGCACTTGTCAACTCGGACAACGTCCAGAAGCGGAACGAGCGGTGGAGTAACGTACGTGGCCACCGTGCGCACAGCAGTGTCGGGGACGTGCCGACGCAAGTAGTTCATCGCAGTGACGTCGATCGAGTACTCGAGCATGTACGTCTCGACATCGAGCATCTTGCCCAGTTTTTCCTTCTTCGTGAAGCAGCTGTCCCTGGTGAGATGGCGCAGCAAGCGAGGCCACCACAGCGGAATGCAGTCGCATGCGATCGTTTGCGCGAGTCTGTCGCCGGCCGTCGCGAGATGCACGACATGAGCCGCAAAAGCACTTGAATCTTTGACCGTTTGGAGTTGGCGCTGGAACCGGGCCGGGCCAAAGCGTCGGAGCACCGCGAGGAGCCAATCCGCCATGTTTTCGTCGTCGGCCCAATGATCGTGAACGTCCAGGAACGCCTCAATGAGCCCCACGTCGCCCTGGTCGTAGAGCACCGACGCCATCGCGTGCGTGGCTTGAGGTGGCTTGGAGGCATTGTAGTAGCTCTGACGCTGCGGGTAGAAGGCACGGTAGGCCGCTTTGAAGATGCTTTGGAGCGACCCGTAGCCGAGGTGCTCGGTCACGTCACCGTCCACATTGGCGCGCAAGAGCCCAATCGTGCGGTCGTAACCTAAAATGCGCATGATGATGATGCGCCTTGGGCCACACGAGCAGAAAGCAGCCGGGCGACTTGATCTCGTCCGCGTCTGCCAGCTCGTTGATTGGCGTCTGGTGGTAAGCGTCTTGGACGAGTGCCGGGGTCGTGCATAGCGGATGAAACGTCTCGGAAGGTGTTGGGGCGCATTCGTCGGGTCTCTCACTCTCAACCTCGCTCTCAACCTCGCTCTCAACCTCGCTCTCAACCTCGCTCTCAATCTCGCTCTCAATCTCGCTCTCGTCGTCACTCTCGCTCTCGTCGCCTTCGCCCGCCCGCGCAATGGCAATGTCAAAGACGTCGGCTGCAAGTAGCAGATCGAGAATTGCCTTGTCGTGACCCATGAGCGAGCCAAAGATTGGCGTCGGGCTGCGCGTCGCGAGCCGGATCATGACACCATTGTCGCCATCGGGCTCAAAGCGGCGCGCGGCGAGTTGGAGTTCTTGGAGCGATGGCAGCGGCGGGGGTGCGTACCGCGGCTTCACGGCATAGTCAAAGTCGGCAAGGTCGTAGACGGCGTGATACACAGCAAACGACCGGTGTCCCGACGTAATTGGCGCGACCGTCACGTCGCACGTCTTGTAGAATGAGAGAAAGCGCCCGTCGAGCGCCTCGAACGTCGTTGTCCGGTGGCCGTGCGAGATCGTGACGGCGCCGCCGACGCAGGTAGACGGAAAAAAGTAGACGACCGTCGCAAAGGTGTAGCGTGGCGGTCGCTTCGTTGCCGGCTTGAACGTCGACGCGTCGCCGGTCAAGTCGATCGCGAAATGCGCCAGTGTCATACTGAACGTCATGCTGAACTCGTCTCCGTCGGGGTTGGGGTTGAAGTCGCTCAGAATGTCGGATTCGGAAAAGTACTCGTTTTCGGCAATGACGAGCCCACTAATGGTGACATCTTGCGCCGGTATGCGGCCAGAGTCTTGGTCGTGAGCGCCGCGACGGTCTCGGTCGAGAGAGGCCACGAGGCCACGGTGCTACCGCCAAGTTGCGCGGTGATGTTGCTCTCGGCGTCCGGCTTGCGCAGACAACAGTGTGGCAACGCGACGCCCCGCGCAATCGAGTACAGACTGTACTCGTGGCCGTCCTCACTCATGGGATGCAAGATGAGTTGTGATAGAGACGAGACCACACCTGTTGTTACTGCCGTTGCAGAGCCAGTGCGTGAGTGATGGTCTCATGGACTTTGTTGTCGAACTGATGGTCTCTTGCACGATGTCGCTCTTGCAATGTGGAGGGTGACGTCACCGACAACCTCGGCTTGGTCGTTTCAAGGCCTCTTTGATGTGGTCTTTCGTGCCCTCTACAACTATGGCGACGGAGAGCGTATCGAGGTCTTTATGGAAGTTCACTACATTCTTCCTATACGCGTAGGCACTCTTCCACGACAAGAGCTTCCATCGTGCTCAGTGTCGCCTTGTGGAGATCGTCGCGTGCTGTCTGGAACGCACCAAAGTCGCGGTTCCTCTTATTTGCTCTAAATTCTGCTTACGGCAAGCTTATGCAAGCTACGTTGGGGCCACAAAATAGGGACCGTCCCTATCGACCAGTCTCTCCATCCAATCCCAGGACAGCCAGAGCGTGGCCCAATCAGTGAGTGCCGCGAGGTCACACCACTCGCTGCTCGCAGACGATGACGACGTCTGTTGCAGTTGGGCGCTTTTCGGGATTGTTGTCCAAGCAAGAAGCGACGAGGTTGCGGTACTCGTCATCGCAGTCGTCGCGTGGCGAGCCTCCGACGACGGCCTTGGTTGCAGCGGCAGCCTCGTCGTCCAAACCGAGCTCAACATTGTCGAGCTCGGTCAAGAGCACGCCTAAGGCGTAGACGTCCGACGCACAGGACGGTGGCGAGTCGCCCGAAAGCACCTCGGGCGCTGTCGGCGCTCGCAGTGCATCCTCGGTTGCCGCCAGGCCAGGGGCGCTGATTTGAACGTAGTTGGCAGAACTCAGAACGACATTGTGGCTCGAGAGATGCCCGTGGACGAGACCATGCGCGTGAACGTCGACCATAGCATTCGCGACGATGGACGCAATCTTGAACTTGGATAAGACCGGAGGGAGCTTGTTGCCTTGTGGGTGCGCGTCTAAAAAGCACCGCAAGCTCTTGGCAGGTAGACACTCGACAAGAACATGGTGTGGCGCAGCTGTCGCCTCGATCGCGACAACAAACGGCGATGTGAAGCTGTCCATCTCCCGATTTAGAGACGGTGGTTGATCAATCAATGCATACCTCGCAAGAGCAGCCAAGTCCGTGTGAGCATGGATACGACGGTGCACGACAAGGCGACCGTCGCGCTCCGCTGGCACGTTGAGCTCTGGTAAATCCTGCTCCACGATCTACAACCATCGGAATATAGCCCATTTGTCGCACGGAAATTGCACACCGTGTCTGTTGCTGTGGTTTGCGCAGCGTGCAAAATGCGCGCCAGTGGCACTTGTCCTGCCAATGCCGCCATGGCCCACGGGGCAAGACCGTTCTAGACACAAGGCTCAGCATGGGGACGCGAGAAGCGAGATCTACCGTAGCGCTAGTTCCATCGCGCGCTACAGCATTTGCAAATTGCCGTTGCTGCTGCGTTACCGTCGAGCTCGCGTTCAGCGCTGCCTGGAGTCGCAGCTTGTTGCCCTAGCAAGTTGTTCGTTGACACTCCCGGTGTTTCAAATGTTGTGGATGGAAGTATTGTCATACGGGAAGCGTCCAATCGAGGAGAAAGCCGCGGCGTTGCAGCTGGCGCAACGCATCGACGTCATTTTTGCTACCGCCTTCAAATACGTCTCGGTCTAGGGCACAGAGAAATTCGTGGCCATGGGAGTGTACACACATCACATACCCAGTCCGCACCCCTAGTCGCCAGGCGGGGGTACAGGAGGCTGACCAGGTCGTCTGCCGTCAGGCGATCCTTGGGGTCGTCGCGAAGACACGCGTTCGTGAGCTCTCGGTACCACGGCTCACACGCGGTCGACAAACGTGGTCGAAGGGTGCCGTCAACGACGCCTTGCGTGAAATCCGGAGGGGTCAAAGCTGGTTGGTCGCCGTACGGCAGCTGGCTCGTGTCGAGCTCTGCGAGAAGGACGCCAAATGCGTACATGTCGGCGGCAAGACCATCGACGGGCCCGTCAGCGCGAAGGATTTCAGGCGCAAGCCACGGCATCGTATCAATCATCTGCGTCTCGGCCGCCGTGCGCTCGGAGGCCAAGGTCACGTCGAGCTTGATGTAACGGGTTGAGCTCAAGAGTACGTTGGCACTCTTGACACCGCCGTGCGCAATACCTTGTTTGTGGAGGACCTTGAGCGCGTTGGCCACGACGTATGCAACCTCGACCGCGGTCACGTGCACCGCCGTGCGCTCAAGAAGGCGCTTCCGGTCGAGGTAGCTGCGCAAGTTGCCGCCATCCATGTACTCGAGTACGAGCTGCGGTGTTGCCATGTCCCGACCGGCAACTGCCACGATTTGCACCAGGTACGGCGACGGGTTTCTACCAAAGCCAGAGTTTTGTGGACCTTGCAACAACTACCCAAAATGCTTACGACAAAAGTGCAGTGATCGGGCAGGTGCGAGGCCAAGATTCGTGGCATGTCTTGATCGCGACGTCGACACCGCTGATTTGGGCCTTGTACACGCTGCTTCGAAGCCCTCGGCCCAGCTCTTGCAGCGATGCAACGTCACGGGGTGCTGTCACCTGTTTTTCGCACCAACCATTGCAACAGGTCTTCTACGAGGATGGCACATACCTCGATGGCGGAGACAACGGTATGCTGATGTAGAGCATCCACGACACGCGTCGAACCGAGCTTGATGGCCATTATCAAGGGCGACACACAGTGCTATTGCATGCGTCATGCGTCATGCAGCGGACTTGTTCTTTACGACGAGTGTACCTCCGTTTGAATTTGTAGGTGTCGACCAGCGTCCGTTCTCGGCGCGTCCGAGGCGTCGTCCCAGTTGGCAGCCATTTTATCGTTCTACATTCCACTGTGAAGTTGAACAGCATCCATGGAAGCCTAGACAACACACCAGCGTAGCCACGATGGTGGCTGCGGTTGGCCGCTTCGTTGGGTCTGGGTGCAGACACTCGTTGACCAACGCGGCGTACCATGGTGCGCAGTCGCCAGTGAGCCGAGGACGGCAATGGTGAAGGCCCACCGCCGTCATGAGCTGTGCGTCGTTCCATCTCTCTTCCGCGAACGGTGCACGTAGCGTGTCGAGCTCGGTCAAAATGACGCCGAGCGCATAAATGTCAGCCTCCGGCGTGCACGGCGCAAACATGCCAAGTCGTTCGGGGGCGGTCCATGGCAGCGTCGACAGATTGGGGTCGGACGTTCCCGGCACACCGACCTTGACGACGCGCTCCGTACTGCGAAAGACGCCGTGGCTTGAAAGCGACCCGTGGAAGAGGCCAGCGGCATGCAGATCGGCAAGGGCCCGAGCCATCGCGATGGCAACGTGCAACTTGGGCAATTGCTGCTCAGCTGGAGCGACCTTCGACATTGACTTTAGGATCCGCCACAAGCTCCCGAGCTTCATGGGCTCCAAAGCGACAACATCGGGAGCATGGCTCGTGACGACACGGACGACGTAGGGTGACGAGAAGCTAGGGATCAGAGATAGATGAGAGTTTGCAACCATCCATCGGCCAATAAAACGAACGTCGAGGCATCTTCCATGCGATGCTGGGGTCGGACATGACGTACTTCGTCCTTGGTCTCCTGGACACACGATCAAGCATCTGCTCTTCGTAGTGAGAGTACCATGTCAGGCGCCGGAAGAGGTTGAAGCCAACCGCACAGTGTGTCGTCTTGTCGCATCGCCTACCAAAACCATGCGTTCATTTCGCTCTCGAGTTTGAACGCGCGACCTTCTGTATACGCTGCGCCTGGATCGTTGATGGCAACAAGAGAGCATCGCGGCCTCGCGTCAGAGACAAATGCACCTGCGTGCTGCGTCGCTGTTCCAGTTGTGAGGATAACTGCGGGGACATCATGAGTTGTACCTCGACCAGCACATTGGCAGCGTGGTGGTCTCTCCTCAGCAATTGTTTGACGAGGTTGACGTCACCGGGTTGCGTCGCATGTGGATGCGTGGGTTTCTGACTCAATATCAACGGTCTTGAATCCACTTAGGTAAGCATACCTTTCCCGGTAGGTCTTGGGGGAGACCGAGTACATCTCCATCGTCCTTGCCGCGAGCTGCCGTCCCCGGCGGGATCCACTCCTACAGAGACAATCGATACCGACATTGGGATACTAGCGGCAAACGAGCTTTGGATCGCGGCTCATGACGTTGCTTGCGGGTACACGCGCCTACATGGACGCGCGTGCGTTGGATTAACTAGGTCGATGGGAGACTCACCTGCACATCACGGAGAGCAAGTGCTGCCAAATACGCGCTTGGTGACGCCGGCGGCTCATTGTTCTGCGCCAGCCATCGAGGAATGCTGCGTGGAATCAGCGGTATGTCCTTGCCCGCCTGTCCGCCCATGAACTTCGAGTCAGTGTTCAGTATAGACGTCAAAGGACGTACGCGGCGAGGTGCGATCGACTTGAGAGCCTTCTTGAGTAGCTCTTGCAGCTTCTTGAGCTCGTTGGCATCTTGCTGCTGGTGCAAGCATTTCGGGCAGAGCGAGTCCACGATCGTCATTGTTGTCTCGTGGCAGGCGGCGCACGTCTTATCCCAGTCGACGACGCACCCGCGGTGGTGCAGTCGCATTAAGCGCCGAAGAATCGCCACCACGCGCTCGTGTGTCGATGCCTCATGGCCGCACGTGGTGCATGCGGCCTCGATCGGGTGCCAGTTGCCACAGTTGACGCAAAAGATTTCGGGCGCCACAGCATTCTCTTGCTAAAATACATAGCTCTGACTATTACCATCGAAAAGACTGCAAACATGTACCCGAGATGCAGCATGCTTGAGCATCGGTACGACGTCCGCCAGGTTTGCTTGTGCCATTTGGAGAGGCGTGGTTCCGTTCTAATGGTGTCATGATGCGTCGAGAAACACACACAAAGAGACATACCGTAGCCGCCAGGTTGACGTCAGCTCCCGTTGCTACGAGCTCCTTGATGCACAACTCACTTCCCGTGCGGAATGCACACAGCAGCGGTGTCTTGCCCTCCTATGACGACATGTCAGTCAGTACATCCATGGGTGGGAAAACCCTCGACGTACGTGATCGCGGCAGTCAACATCGGCGCCCGCGTTGATGAGTGTGACCAGTAGGTTCGCGTTGCCTCGAGTTGCAGCTTCATGCAGTGGCGATTGCCCGCCCTAAGTCACGTCGTGATCCCCGCACGCACGACATACCAGTAGCATATGACGTACGCTCAAGTTGTTGACGTCGGCGCCGCCATCGAGGAGGAGCTGCACTGTCGTGGCGGCGCGAGCTGTCGTGGCCGCTAGAAGCAGTGACGCGCCGCCCTACATGTCACATTTTAGACTGGGTCGCAATTACCTCGTGGAATACCGGAAGTGTTTCGTCCAGCGATGTGCCGTTTTCGAGCAGCTGTATGACCGCGTTGACATCGTCCCTCGCCACTGCGCGCAAGTACGTCTCAGCCACCTAGACACAAGACGGTATGAGGCCCCTTATGACATAAGAGAAAGCGCGTACGCTCATGCCTGGCACTGCAGCCATCTCAGCGCTCAGCATCTCGACAATGGTTGCCGCTGTCGGGCGCGCTGCTGGGTCTCCGAGCAGACACATCTCCACCAGCCGTCGCAGCCACGGTTCGCTCGCGGCCGTCAGCGTCGGGCGCAGAGTGCCATTGACCACACCTCGCACAAACGCAGCAGCATCGTGGACGTCCTGGTCAAAGTACGGCAGCTGGCACGTGTCGAGCTCCGTGAGAAGCACACCGAAGGCGTAAATGTCGGCGGGGAAGCCATCGACAGCACCTTCCGCTTCAAAGATCTCGGGTGCTGTCCAAAACGGTGTGCCGGGCGTCTCGGTTGTCTCAAGATTCGCGAGTCCCATGTTCCCGAGCTTGACCTCACCGCTCATACCGGATTGGTGGCAAGTGTCTAGATACGTCGTTGCACGTGTTGAGAACGACACGAGGTTGCGCGAGGAGCAGGTCGAGCAACACGTCATTATTTGCAAGGACTGCCAAGTGCACCAGCGAGCACCCCGCTACGACTTAACTTGAGTTACAAGTCCTGAGATTGTGTTGGACATTTACCTCATCGTTGACGTTGCAGCTGTACGGCTGCTCGAGGAGAGCTGCAAATCGGGTCACGTCTTGGTGGTGCATCGCTAGCAGCAACGCTTCTCTCTAATGACGTTATCCATCACAAAAGCGTCGTCTTGAATGGCGACGTACATGCTCGTGCGCCGGCCGAAGCAGCTCGATCATGGCATCGTCTTCATTTGCCTCGGCCAAATCGATGGCCCGCACTCCCCACTACCCACAACATATATCAACCAGGAGAAATGAGACGGGCACGCCGAACCACCCAATCACGATGGTCGACATCAACGCCGGCTTGGAGCAGGGTTCGAACGATGTCGTAGCAGCTCTTGGACGCCGCAACGTGCAAGGCGGTGAAGCCTTGCTATCCACAAATCACCTTTCAGACGATAGGCGGTCGCAGAAGACGACGCATGTCGGTGGGCGCGTCGAGATCGATGTCGGACACCTGTACTAGCTCCTTGACGTTCTTCACCTGGTGCCCCGCCAGCTCGTCATCAAGCCGTTCTTGCAGCAGCTCGACGAGGTCCTTTGCTGTTGGGCGATTGCTCGGATCCGCGTCCAGGCAACGACCGACGAGGTCCCGGTACCAAAATTCACACTCGTCGCGCAGATTTGGCCGCAAGCCGCCGTCGACAACCGCCATCGTGAGCGCGACTTCATCTTCGAACGCTTCGTCTTCATACGGCTGCTGGAACGTGTTGAGCTCCGTCATGAGAATACCAAACGCGTAAATGTCAGAGGCCGACGAGGGCGGCGCGTCGCCGGTGAGCACCTCGGGGGCCGTCCATGCCAGCAGCGCTTCGTCGGTCGCCGACATCCCGGGCACGCCGACTTGGATACCGCCGATGCGGCTCATAAACACGTTGTGGCTCGAGAGATATCCGTGGACGAGACTGCGCTCGTGAACGTCGAGAAGCGCGTTGGCGATTACGTAGAGGATCTGCAGAAGCGTTGGAGCCGCTGCCAGCATGCGCGATCGAGCACCCGGGGCCAGCAGCGTGTTCTGGAGAGTCAGGACGCGAGAGACGTTGAGAAGAACGCTCTGGGGCGACGCGGTGGCCACGATGGACACGAGAAAGGGCGACGAGCACCTACGCATCGTCGTCAATCGCCTTGCCGATGCGATTCAAGGTACATGGCAATGGCTTCGAGATCGTCGTCGTCGCCGATGTGGTAATGCACGACCAGTTGGTCATGCAACATCATGGGTACACCCGCCTTTGGTAAGGTCTCGGCCGCAATCTACAGACCAGTTGCTCATGGGTGGTTCAGTACCACCGTCGCTACCTTCCGTACAGGCTCGACATGCTCGCGTACAAGTCGCGAGCCAAGGCGGCCGACCAAACATACCCGCGGTTGCCCACGGCATCGGATCGTTCTACAGGAAAGAGTCAGCGTGCTCAGGGATAGGGATGAGCCATGACTTGTTGCATCGGGCGGGAAGCGAGCATTGCCAGAAACGCCATATCGCGTGCTCGGTCTTCTGCCGAGTGGCCCCGCATGCGTCGCTCGGAGCGACGTTGCATCATGTTGGTCGACGAGGGTGCAGCTGGCGGCAGCGGGTCACGGTGGCTTGCCAACCAGCGCAGGACGCGACGCGGAATGCATGGCACTTCTTGCGCGCTCTACAAGTTGACGGCTCAGCATTCTGCTGCAGCTTGAAGGACATGTACCGTCGGTTGTTGGAGAGCACGCTTGAGGCGCACGCTCAGAATCTTGAGCTCGTTTCCATCCATCGGCGACTCGGTGCCGCACTCGGTGCCGCACTCGGGGCAGATCGCGTCCACGATAGTCATTGTCGACTGGTGGCAAGTGGTGGAAGCGCAGGTTCGCGCCCAGTTGACGGCGTAGCCGCGATGGTGCAGCCGCATCAAGCGCCGAACCACCGCGACCATGCGGTCCGTCGGCGAAGCGTTGTGGCCACACGAACAAACCGCGTGAACGGCGTGCCAGTTGCCACAGTTGACGCAAAAGATCTCGGGATTTGCAACGTTTTCTTTCTACAATTCGAGTATCAGTTCTGATACTTCTCGAGATCGAATGGGTGTACCCGTGACGCAGCGATGTGGAGCATCCGCACAAGGTCGGCGAGGGTTTGGTCCCGTTTGGCCATGTCAAGTAGCTCCCATCCGTCCTACGCACGGCCTTGAAAAAAAATTGGGAGCGTGAACTACCTCGTCAAGACGCTCGACACTGGCCCCCGTGGCGAGAAGCGCCGTCACGCATTGCAAAAGCTGTTTCTTCAGGGCGAACGCCAGAGGCGTTCTTCCATCCTATGCAAATAATAAGCATTTCCCTCTTTACTCCCAGATGTTTACTTGATCGCGTGCTTCGACGTCCGCCCCCGCGTCGATCAAAATGAGGAGAAATTCCTCAAAAGACTTGGTCACAGCGGCGTGCAGTGGCGTTTGGCCTCCCTACGGTGGGTTAGTTGGTAGTACATACGATTAGGGGTACTCGTACGCTCGGGTCATTGACATTGGCGCCGCGATCAAGGAGAAACGTCACCGTCTTGGTGGCACGCGCCGCCGTTGCTGCCAAAAGCAGTGACGCACCGCCCTAGGAAGCTTTCAGACGGTGGTGATGAGGGTGGCGACTACCGGTAGCTTCCAGTCCAGGGGTACACCGTGGGTCAGCAGCTGCGCGACCGTGTCGACGTCGTCCGTTGCCACTGCGTGCAGGTATGTCTTCGCCACCTACATCGTACAACCATGAGCAGCCGAGACCATCAAGAGCAGACAGCTTACGCTCATGCCTGGTGGCGGGGCAGCCGCCATCTCAACGCTGAGCATCTCGACAATGGACGCCGCTGTCGGGCGCTCCTTCGGATCGGCACGCAGGCAGCGTTCGGCCAGCGTGCGCAGCCATGGCTCGCACTCGGTCGTCAGCGTCGGACGAAGCGTGCCATTGATGACACCGCGGTTGAACGCAATCGGGTCTTGGAAGTCCTGGTCAAAGTACGGCAGTTCGCACGTGTCGAGCTCGGTAAGGAGAACGCCGAACGCGTAAATGTCGGCGGGGCAGCCGTAGACGGCACCTTGCGCTTGGAGGACCTCGGGCGCCATCCAGTACCGGGTACCAGGTGCTTCGGTCATGCTCGTTGCCTCGGGTCGTGCCAAGCCGAGGTCGGCGAGCTTGATCTCGTCGCTCGAGCTCAAGAGGACGTTGTCGCTCTTAACATCGCGGTGGATCAAATTCTTGGCATGGAGATGGAGCAAGGCGTTGGCGACGACCCAGGCCACGTGGAGGTTGGTCACGTGTGCTGCCGTGTGCATGTTGATGCGCTTCTGGTCGAGGTGCGTCCGAAGGCTGCCACCGTCCATGTACTCGAAGAGCAGCGTTGGCGTCTTGGAGTTGCGGTCTGCGATAGCCACCAGGCGCACAAGGTACGGCGACGGGCACCTACGCCCATGGTTGCACGTGCACGATATCGCATCGGGTATTACGCAAGGAGGGTGCCGACTTCGGCCTCGAACGACTTGAGACAATCGGCGTGTCTGAACTTCTTGATTGCAACGTTTTGACCCGCGTACGAGCCAAGGACAACGACGCCAAAGGCACCAAAGCCAAGCTCCGTCTGGGTCTCGACATACTCGGTGGTCGAAATCTACCACATTCGTTGTCCGCATGTGGAGGTAGTCGCAGAGCAGACCTCGACCACCGGCTGGAGCGTCCGATCAAAGAGTTTTTTGGCCATCGAGCCATAGCAGCGCTCGATGGCAATGGCTAGCGGTGTCTTCTTTTCCTACGGCAGACAATTCGTTGCATACTGATGTGGTTTTAATCGCAGCCGTACGTTGTTGAGAGTCGCCAAATTGACGCGGGACTCGGCGAGGAGCAGGTCGAGCATCGCTTCGTTATCGGCAAGCACCGCCAAATGCACCAGCGAGCACCCAAGCTAGAGTTGCATTGGTGTTGTTGACGTAAGAATGCGTGTGTACCTCGTCCTTGATATTGCAGCTGTAGGGCTGCTCCAGAAGATACGCCAGTCGCCCGACGTCGGCCAAGCGCATCGCTTCCAGCAACCGCTCTCGCTACGACGTGTTGCGGTCACTTCTATGGGATACCAGCTCCTACGTACGTGCTCGTACGCAGGCCGAAGCAGGTCGAGCATGGCGCGGTCTTTATCTGGCTTGACCAAATCAATGGCCCGCACCCCCATCTAGAGAGCCTCTCAAACACCAAGTGTTGCATCAGTGAGCCGAACCACCAAATCACGACGGTCGACATCAACGCCCGCTTGAAGCAGCATCCGAACGATGTCGTAGCACTTCGTGGACGCCGCAACGTGCAAGGCGGTGAAACCATGCTACCCCACCCGTGAAGCACTTTAAAGGAATGGGCCAGCGCAAGGCAACTTACGGCGTTGGGCTGGTTGATATCAATGTGGGGTGACTGTAGAAGCGCCCGAACCACGTCTGCGCGATTGTGATGAGTTGCCATCATCAGCGGCGACGTCAAGTTCTACACGAGTGGCATGCAACACGCCCTTGAGATAACGGCGAAATGACGTACGAACTGGGAGTTGACGTCGGCGCCGCGGGCGATCAAGGCCGAGATGACGTCGACGACATCATTTTGGCAGGCGCAGTGCATCGGACTCTGCCCTTTCTACTCGACAATCACAGTGATGGGTGCGATATAAACCATGCGAGGTTACCGAGAGGACGCTGATATCGGCTCCCGCCTTGACGAGAAGCGTGGCCACGTCACCGTGCTTGTGCCGAATCGCAAGATGCAGCGCAGTGTCGCCATTCTACAGTCCACAACACTAACGCCTTGCATGTTCAACCAGTCGAATTGTAACCATTTCGCACTCCGAGGTACGGTCGCCGCGCGCGAGGAGGACGTCTGCAATGTCCTTGCGACCGTATATCGCTGCAAAATGCAACGGTCGTTGCATCGCCTAGTCCATGCATTGAGCGGAGCATTCAAATTTGGTAGTGAGTACCTCATCGGCCGCTTCGAGGTCGGCCCCAGCGTCCAAGAGAGCGATCGCATTGGCCAAATGCCCGGCCGCAATCGCAGCATGCAATGGCGTTTGTTGCCTCTACACAGATACATTCAAATGAGATCTTCGTGCCCCAGCCGACGCCGACCTACGTTGGTCTTTGCATTAACGTGGATGGATTCAATGCGGAGCAGTTTGTTGATGCTGTCACTGGCGCTACTTGCCGCGTGATGCAACGCTGTCATGCCCAGCTATTCCTCCGATGAGCACTTTTCTCGGTTCGGAAATACGTACATTGGTAGCGAGGTTGACGTTAGCACGGTATTCGAGCAGCAAGTCCACAATGGCACTGTGGACAAAATGTACCGCTTTCATCAGCGGTGTTTCCCCTCCCTACAACACATGAATAGCCCCAAAAACGAGACGGTCGGTCTGTACATTGCTTGCGCTGTCGGGGTGCGCACCACTCGCCAGCAAGGAACGGACGTCATCCAGCATACCGCCTTCCACGGCCACGTGCAACGCCTCCTCGGGCTACATTGGCAGCACAGGCTGTGAGAATATATCTTGTATGGATTGGGGATGGTGGTGTACGGTGTGAGATCTCTGGGACCGACCGGCTCTCTACAAGAATAATAAATATCGACGACTCAACCGAGACCCAAGTGGTGCGTACAAAAGGGATAATAGGCGCCGAGGGTATCGTGGCGGCTTCGGCGCGACCAGGTACTGAAATGGCCTCGAGGACTTGACGACCCGCCTGAGTAAAACGATCAATTCGTGTTGACGCAACCCAAGCCTCCGTACCGCTCGGTCTTGCTCGAAGGCGTGCATTGAGAGCACGAGGTGGGCTTGCCTACAGTTAGCTCTGTGATTCTTTTCACAAAAACGGAGAAGGCGTACGACTGCAACTTGGGCAGCAAAATACGGATGAGCGTGGCCGCTGTCGGACGGCGCGTTGGATCCACCGCCGTACAGTCCGCTGCGAGAGCTTGGGCCCACTCGGCGCTTGCATCGGTAGGGTTAGGGTACAGCGTCTGGAGGAGGATCCCAAACGAGTAAATGTCGGCCGCCTTCCCGTAGCCGCTTCCGGACGTGAGGACTTCGGGTGCTCGCCACTTGCTCGTGCCAGCACCCGTCGTCATGTTCGTTGACTCTTCCTTGGCGATGCCCACGTCACCCACCTTGATGTAGTGCTTGGACGAGAGGAGGATGTTGTCGGTCTTGATATCCCGATGGACGACGTTCTTCTTGTGGAGGTCGTGAAGAGCGTTGGCGACGACCCAGAGAATCTCAATAGGCGTGTACGCCAGAGGTACAGACTCGTCGTTGGCCAGCTTCTCGAGGTACGAGGTAAGGTTGCCGCCGTCCATGTACTCGAAGAAGAGCTGCGGCGCGTCCGATTCCGCGTCTGCTGTGGCGAGCAGCCGCACAATGTACGGCGACGGGTTGCTATTGTAGTGATAAGGAAGTAAGAAACAGGAGCGTGACGAAGGAATGCTGTACTCGATGAGAATTCGTATCTCGGCTCGGAAGCTGGCAGCGGTGGCATTGATGTGCCGCAGCACCTTAATGGCCACGTCTTGGCCTAGGAGCGAGCCCTTGAAGACGGTGCCAAAGCTGCCACTACCAAGCTCTCGCAAATCCACAGTCGACACTGCAGGCACCTTGAGGTAGAAGCCATTGAGCCCTACTCGAATGGAGCGCTTTCAAAAGTCTACCTGCTTCAGCGGCTTGTTCTGGACGTTGTAGAGTTGCTCGACGAGGGACGCAACGTTCATTTTGATGGCGATGGTGCTTGGCGACTCACCAAGCTACGTGGCTTCTTGAGGGGAACCACACTGGAACAATGTACGGACCTCGTTGATGCCCAAGGTGTCGACAGCTGGGTCCTTCAAGAGTTCGGCCAAAACAGCATCGTGGCAACCGAGTAGCGCCAAGTGCACAAGCGTGTTGCCGTGCTATCAAGTCGGCCATGTACTACGGCAATACTATAACGACACGGCAGACTACTACCTCGTCTCTCTCGTTGACGCTCAAGCCCTCGGCTAGCAGCGCGCGAACTTCGGCATCGTTGCCGCGGCGCACCGCATGCAGCAGCTGCATTTTCTAATCGAAAGAGTCGCGACCGCGCTCCTTCTATGAGACTACCTTGGTGCGCACGTCGTGCAGAACCTCCAGAACACTCTCGTGGCCGAAATGACGAGCGACCGTCACTGGCGTAAACCCGTTCTAGGCGTGCAGTGAGTGCAGCATGGGTCGTATCACAACCAACACTGGCCGGTTTGTCGAGCTCGGCTCGCGCATACGCTAGCTGACGCACAACCTCTGCATGACCGTTGCCAGCGGCTGCACACAAGGGCGTGCCGCCAAGCTACGTAAACAAAGGTGGCGCCTTGACTTATCGAAGGAGCATACCGTTGGATCCATCGCATTCACGTTCGCCCCGCATTGAGCAGCAGCGAAATGATCTCCGAGTGGCCGTACGAGGCCGCAGGGATGAGGCATGGTCTCTAAATTGCAGATGAGCTGCGGTTGGCAATGCATGAGAACATACAGGGTGGTTGACGTTGGCACCAGCTTGCAGCAAAGCGATCACTGCGGCGACATGGCCCCGCATGCAAGCAGCGTACAAAGGCGTGACTCCGTTCTAAGACACAGAGTTTATTCATCCATGCTGCAATGTAGTATACCGGAGCAGTCGCGTTTGGATCGGCTCCCTTTTCGACGAGAAAGCGAATCATGTCGGCGTGGCCGCGGTTGGCAGCGTGAAAGACCGCCCCATACCCCTCCTAATGCCATTGTAGATACACGTAATTCGTATAATAAAATGAGCGTACCTTGTCGACGCTATGCAGGTTGGCGCCAGCCACGAGCAGTCGCGAGGCAAGGGTTTGCCAGCCTCTCTCCGCTGCCACCACGATCGGCGATGCCTTATTCTAGTGCACGAGTAAACGTTAGTGTAATATGGAAGTCGAGTATCGGGTACGTAGGTGTTGTTGTCGTTGACGTTGGCACGAGCATTCAGAAGGACTTCAACAACATCGTCGAGGCCGAGTTGCACCGCAGCAGCGAGCGTCGTTGCATCCTAGCGCAGGTTGTTCTTACGAGAGCTGTTCGATCCTGCAACGCGGGTACCCCGTTGGTGTGGTTGACGTCGGCGCCGCGGTCCAAGAGCAACTGCACAAACTCGGCAGAGCGACAGGCTGGTGACATCATGAGTGCTGTTGCGCCTCCCTAACACAGAACCTTCAGAGCTGTGCTATTTACTGCACACCATCGCACCCGTGTCTCCAAGTCGACGGCCGCACCGGCGTTGAGGAGCATCTCAGCAACGTTGACGTGCCCTTCCATCACTGCAACGAAGAGCGCGGGCTCGCCCATCTACATGATACGTCAGTCTCGAGGAATTGTGCTTCGAAGCACCTTGTTGCGGCTGTTGGGATCGGCGCCGTCATGAAGGAACTCGGCCACGGCCGCCATATCGCCTCGCGCAACGGCGTCCACAAGACTCATCCGCGGTGGCCTCGGTCGTCTGCGGCGTCAAAAAGGCAATGACGTCCATCGACAACATGACGGCACAACCCCATGCAATCGGGTTATAGAGGCATATCATTCGTATCGTATGTGTTGTCAGAGGTTGTTGACCCTTCCGC